AGACGATCATATAACTATTGGTATTAAAAGATGGTTCCTTCTCATTATTAATCAAAGAATGAGAGGAAACCATACCAAAAGGAGATCAGAATACAAAAAGAGGCACAAGAAGAAGAAGAAGAAGAAGAAGATGATGATGATGAAGATGAAAAGGTAGAGGTGTCGTAGACGAGTGGATATGTCACCGGACTGTGGATCACAAGGTCCGCGGTTGAAGTCCCACCGCAGCACTAATGTCCTTTGGCAAGACATTGATCTACATTTGCCACTCTCCACCCAGGTGTTAAATGGGTATACCCGGTAGGATGCAAAATCTAATGTGCTTAGATTAGCAAGTGTGCACTTGTAAAAATGACGCCTGGCTGGAATGCTCCCCAGGGAGTGGAGAATGTACATACATTGTGATGATTGTGTGCGGGTAAGCCTGAATCCGATGACTGGGGTAATAATATCTATATCTGTAAAGCGCTTTGAGAGGGTCATCGGTCCTCAAAAGCGCTATATATGAACTAGCTATTATTATTATTATTATTAAGAAGATGAAGAATAAAAAGATGAAGTAGATACGAACAAGAAGAACAAGACGAACAACAACAACAAGAAGAAAAACAACAGCAATAAGAAGAGGAAGAAGGCATCGACGTTTAGAAGAAACAAGAGTGAATAATGATATAAGATTACTGTTTTTGTTTGTAATGAAGTTGACGCAAAAATGTAATAATGAAGATGATGCATGCTCTTCTTTACAATGATGGTGATGATGATGATAATTATGATGATGATGATAATGATAGTGATGGTGATGATGATGATGATGATGGTGATGATGATAATGATGTTGATGGTGATGATGATAATGATAGTGATGGTGATGATGATGATGATGATGATGGTGATGATGATGATGTTGATGATGATAATGATAGTGATGGTGATGATGATGATGATGTTGAGGATGATAATGATGATAATGAAAGTGAGGGTGATGATGGTGATAAGGAAAGTGATGATGATGATAATGATAATGAAGAAGAAAATGAGGACAACAGAGTTCAGATTTGAGAATCGGAGCAAATGGAAAATGCAAGGAAAAGTAATAATAACAACAATCATAATAATAGTCTCAATTAACCAGGGAAGAATCACCAGTATTAATTGTGATTTCCTGAAGGCCCTGCAATTATCATTACGCTAGCATTTCAAAGTGTCATAATATGCCTGGATCAGGTGATGTAAATGGGTACCTGGCAGGAATTAATTCCTGTAATGACGGCATAGCTATAGCCGGTGTAATAATCTCCAAGTTTGAAAGCGCTTAGAGACTAATTCGTGGTATATAAAAGCTGAGTATTATTATTATTTTGGTTATTATAGAGGAAAAAATATTGGTTAACATGATACCTTGCCAAGGGTGAAAGCACCGAGCAAGGATCGACCCCATGACCTCTTGCATGAGAGTCAATCGCCTTCACTATGATACCACAGTGCTTTCACGAAGGAAGGACACAATGGTATGTTTCACATGTGATATATATTATTAATTAATTAATTATTAATTCCCACTAAGTGAACGTCCACATCCACAATTTGACCACAAATGAAAACAAAAGTTAACCGAGTTTCTTATTAAGCGTGTCAATGACGGGGTCAATGACCTCTTTTCCATATAACACAGTCATGACAGAGGCCATGTAAATGTTGGTAAGAAAAAATGAGTATGTTTTATCTTCTTGCTTCTTGTTTATCCTTCCCAGTAACATATCAGAATTGCTAGAGTAATTTGGAATTATAATTGTGGAAGTATCGTGCTCTAGTTGATGCGTTACGTCACCATCACCGGACTTTGGATCACATGATTCGCGGTTCGAGCCATTAATCTACAATTTCTAGACTCGACCCCCGCCCCCCCCCCCCCCCCCCCCCCACTCAGTGTTATTTAGGGTACGCATATGCTTGTTCCCTCTTTTTGAAAGCACCCCCTATCTGAGGACTGCCAACATTTCCGCATCCCCCCTTTCGCGGGCTTTTCGCGGGCTTTTCGCGGGCTTTTCCTGCCTTGGAGACCCCCCTAAATCATGAAAAATGCCTCAGGAGTCCAAAGAGATGAGAGAAAAAACGAAAAAAACACCCCCTTTTTAAAGAAATCTCCGCGTGAAAAGTTAATACACCCCTTTTTTTTTTTACAATTCTCGGGCCGTACTTTGTCGCACGAAAAGTACCCCTTTACCGGACATTTTGGTAACACGCATGGGGTCCGTCCGTTCTCGGAGTGGGGGGGGGGGGGGGGGGGGGGGGGGGGGGGGGCTCGACCCGGGTGAGGTAAAAGGGTATTTGACAGTAATCACTTAGACCGTCCTCTGTACTCGCGCGTAATTCTGTTGTACATAAATGTATGGCTAGTTTAGGGCGCGCACGTCACTAACACGTACGAATGGAGGACAGTCCAGGCGGTGGACTATTATTTTGCCGATGCAGGCACGGGTTTTATTTGTTTAATTTGTGGACTATGAAAAAGATATGACAGGAAATGATATATTTGAACGGTCTCAGTCATTGTTTGGTGATAGATTAAATGTTTGATAACATTATCAATGGTCCTTTTCCCACCATAACGACTGCGTTGAAGAAAAAAGTGAATGAAAATTATGAATGGAATATTGAAGTTTGGACTCTCCTCTCAATCTCTGTCTCTGTCACTCCTCCCCTTTATTTATTTATCTCTCTATCTCTCCCACTCTCTCTCTCTCTCTCTCTCTCTCTCTCTCTCTCTCTCTCTTATCCTCTCTTTCTCTCTCTCTCTCTCTCTCTCTCTCTCCCCCCTCTCTCTCTCTCTTTCTATCTATCTTTTTTGTTATTGTCACGTACTTTATTTATTGAATAGCAAAACAGCAAAAGGCGTGTAAAAAGAAATATTCAAGCTTGAATAGACAGGACAGTACAGTGCGGAAAATAATACACATACTTATACATTTACAAATAAAAGCTGGATAAACATACGGTGGAAAAGAATACAACGACCATGTCATATGGAATCACTGCATCAGTATGGGCACTTGGAACGTTGACTCGAATACCATGTACTATACAATTGTTTAAGTAGCATATACAAAAATAAAAGAATGAGGATTTCCGTCATGGACAAAACCAGTCATTAAGATAAGATATCTGGCATTTGAATGTAACCATCCAGTGCTCCCTACATCCTATCAGAAATAAAGAAAGATTGTATAGATTGAAAACAACGAATCTTAAATCAAAAGGAGAGAAAATATTCAACTTGCAAAATATAAAAACATGTATGTAGTAATCATACAAGTTTTTTCTGCAAGTATTATATACATCATTCTCTCAGTCTCTCCCTCTCTCTCTCTCTCTCTCTCTCTCTCTATCTCCTCCCTACCTGTGAGGTCTGCTGCAGATCTCGATTTGTCTTTCTCTTCTCTTGTAGCTTCCGGATGGACTTCGATCCCGTTCACTGTTTGCATTGCTCGCTTGCATTTGAAAAAACCCGGCTATACAAACCATGTATTCAAATATTAGCATTTCAAACGTGGCGAGGGTATACAATGAAATGGTTGACATTAAAGACACAATAGGGCAGCAATTTATCGCAAACACGGAATGTCTCATTTTTGATTGGTTTGTGGTAATGATTTCTCACTGTTCCATTGCCTTTCCTTAAAAATTATGAGTTGAGCGCCAAGGTCGTTTGTTTAATGTGGTGGGTACTTGAGGTGTCAGTGTCATTACTGTTAGCACACAGTGATAGATTTGTGGGATTGCACGATTTTATTTCCGACATTTGCACTATCCCCATTGTCACAGAATGCACATTATTAACACCACAATGCACTAGTGTTAGCTATAAACATCTATTTATCAACCCTATCAACACTACCATCAACTTTCCCACCACTGTGGCCATTCGACTACCATGCACTACCACTGTCACCACCATCTTCATTATCTTTATCACAATTTAATTTAACACGACTTATCGCCCCCACTACTACCGATACCACCATTATAACCACCATCATCATTACATTCATTACCATCCTCATCATTACAACTACTGTCATCATCATAATCATTATCACCACCACCACCATCGTTAACATGGTTATCACCGTCATTACAATCACTACCACGGTCATCACCACCACCACTGCCACTACCACCACACCACACCACCATCATCATCTCAGTCACCACCGCTATCACAACCACCACCACCATCACCACCACCACCACCACCACAATCAACATTATCATTATCATTACCAACATCACCATCACCAGCATCACCACCACCATCACCAGCATCATCACCACCACCCCCACCACCATCGCCATCACCATCACCACCACCATCACCACCATCACCCCTACAATCTCCTGAACAACGACTACTACCATCACCACCACAATCATCATTATCACTAGCCTCAAATACGCCAATATCTTCAATTTTTATCTTTACAAAATTTCTCCTTTCGCTATATGACCGACATTTTTCACTGGATAACCAAAAAAATAAAAAAAAACTTTTTTTCAAAATGAGAAAAAAAGAATATACGAGAAAAATTAAGATCTAGCAGAGAGAAAATATCCTAGACGACCAAGGACCTCTTTCCGCTATGAACATCTTCTTGAGTGTTTGATGGAACAAGTTCTTCAAAAAGTTCTTCAAAGGTTTAATTCCGGTGTCCATTTTATCCTTATCTGATCAGCTTCCGGATACACTTCGATCATGTTTACACCCGTCATTAAAAAGATAATTGATCATCTCTTTAAATAAAGCTACTTGAAAATGTGTGATCACCGGTCAGACTTATACGTGGTGTATTTGAAGTACAGTCACACTTGTCTTAGTGTCCGCCTCTTTATGAAGGCCACCTGTCCATAGCGGTCACCTGCGGAATCATATTAAAGATAAGTGTAACATCGCCGATCACACGCGGAAACTGGTAGAGAATTACGACACATCACACCATCCGTTGTGTTGCGGTTCTTTTTATTTCAGGTGCAAAGTGAACAAAGCTAAAGTAAGCTAAAGCCAAAGCTAAAGCCTGGACAAATAAACAAAGTTAAAACAATTAAATAGAAATGTGGACATGTTTGAAAAACACACATAATAGTGATAAACATAATATTTGTTAATGACTCTAAGATACGCATTCCAACAATATGACGTCAAGCCGACTCATGATAATAAATGATAAACATGTTGTTTATATTACATTCATTAAAACTTAATCAATATTGCATGAAAATAACAAGTATCTAATCAATAAAGTTCTTCCATCTTTATGGATAACTTTCCCAACAAATAAATGAAGACAACCATCAAGTGAACTTTGGCAAACAACCAAACATAACTCCCAATTAAAACTACATTGAATTAGTGGTTTATACATTGAATATGATAACCCACTCACCCTGGCAATCTGGCCTAGAGGACCGTTTCCTCTCGTTCCCACTTCTCACATGTTGATTGCAATTTGTCAACACCTGAAGGAATAATAATTAATACAAATCATTGTAAATTTGACTCTAAAACACCAAACTGAAAAAGGTTCAGATTATATCCGTTAACTGTTAACTCTTAAAACATTACTTTAAATTACAACTGTCTTGCAAAATACGATTATCCAGAGTTAAACTCAACAACACATTATATAACTAAAACTCCTAAAGATAACATAGTAATATTCAAATCATCTCAAATTACTATTACCAAATCCTAATCTAGTGCTTAACTCACTAACGAAATCAACCTATACTAATGATCAAACAAATAATATGCCACACCTTACATAATGCATATTAATTCAACACAAACTATATCGTTGAGAACGATACCAAGGTTATTAACTAACATCAGAATACATCTACAAAAGTACTAATTATCTCAATAATTATCCAACTTAACAAAAGAATAATCTTCTTACCTAATGACATGTAACACCAAAAGCTTGCAGAGTCGACCTCCCTGCCTGCCCCATGGATGGGGTGCAGTACAGGAGTGAATCTCACAAATACCTCTGCCTTCTTTTATAACAGCTATACTCTCACGGTGGTATAGCTACTACACATAACCTGTTCTGGTAAAGGGTCTTGTTATTGGGAGGGAGACAGGAAGTCTTTTGTTTTGGGAGTTTGGGGTTCTTATCCGATGTTTACAATTTGGGGTTTGTTTGGCTAAGTTGTTACAAGTGTTCTGGAAGGGGGGGGGGGGTCGAGTTACCAACCTTTGACCAAGTGACCGTACATCATTAACTCTCTCATAGCTGTGGAATGTCATGTTTTGGCCAAATTGATAGCTTCTACTTGGAATATGTGTGAGTCATACTTCTTTGAAGTACAAAGTTTGTTAACATATAAACTTCTTACTTTCCTCCTGAGGAGATATTGATTAGAAATGGATGTATATGTTTCACTATAAAACAGTTCAATTCTGACCTGTTACACACTCCCCTGCTTAATTGAGTGTCGTCCCGACACTCAGACTACAACAAAATAATATTTAATTCCCACTATACCTTTTCCCCATCGTGGCTGTTTCCTGATCCTAATACCGACGCCTACATATGCAAATCAAAATTAATCATGTGATTAAAAATCTACTCGCGTAATACAGAATATAAAAATTGAAATCATAACACATTATTGGCCAACCCGCACCACTAATACGAACTTTCTGATCTCATGACGAGAATCACAGAAAACATATCTAGTGCAAAAACTCAACTGTTTCAGTCATTCTAGCACTCCTTATTATGTAATACTGGTCTCATGTCGAGGCTCCTAGCATTCACAAATTATCTAAGTACTACCAAACTGATCATAACAGTTCCAGAGTCTCTACTGCCAAACCTTAGTTATCAACATAAATCTTCAATATACAGGCATCTCTAACAAGCCAGATGATTTTCACGGTATATACCCAATTATTCTACGCTGTGTCATTTTAAACACACACAAACAATAATCGTCCTTATACTACATTTACACACTCTAGCAAATACACCAGTAAAACTGTCAACTGTATTTCGTAACAACCTTGCCCTATGGATATTCCTTTCACATCTCAATAAACTCCTAATTAAGATACAAACATTCGACATTGAAATATACAAAGAAATCTTATAACTTTTGACTAATCCTCTCCGCTACCAATGTGCCCTTTCCGGCCTCTCTACGAGGTTAACAGAAAAACAAAGATAGAGAGATAAACCCTACTGTTCCTAGAAGTCGCCCCAGTATTTCTTCCATGAATGATTCCGGTCTCATGTCGAGGTTTTCGGAATAAACATTAAATACACTATCCAGGCTAAGTCCAACAGTAATTCCAGCCAAATCCCAGTTACATACCAGAAATCTCAGTATAAAACAATACAATATCCATTACACAACACATAGTTACTCCGAATTGCTGACCCAAAATTAAACAACATGTCACGTTCATGGGCTCCCCTGCTTTTCCAAAAGCAGTCTCTAAAACTAAAAAAGATATCCACCGTGCATATCAATTCAATGAATGTAATAAACATGCTACAACCTAACTTACCTAAGTTACCAAAACTTAACAAATGTCTTGCCGAACTTTAAATATCAACAATTTACAAGTTCAAATAAAGGAATATTCCAACTATTCATAAGTAATAAAGCTAGAGCTTCATACCTGCTCTACACCTACATGTACTGCTATCCCTCCTATCAATATTATAAAATACCGGTGTCTTTGTATGCCTTCCCTTAATTTGAGGCTCCATCCAACCAGCCGAAATTAAATACGAAAGGGGGTATGGATTGTTCCAAACACAGTATTATCATGACAGTCTCAACAACATATGAATAGTATTACTCCTTAATTTCCCCCAAACAATTTAAACTGAATGCATTAAAGTATTCCATTACAAGATAATTTCAAGAAAATTACCCTAAACAAACACAACGTAGCTCCTTACTAAACTTCACACTAGCTTAGCAACAAACATTCATACAATACACAAAATCGCTACAACTTAAATCTACGTCAATATTTACAGGTCTCCAGACGTCCATGTCCGATCAAGTTGTCCCAAAACTAGAAGCTCCACAGAAAGCCAGGGCTTGCACTTGCAGTGATGAAATCCCTGCCGATTACGCCATTTGTAACATCGCCGATCACACGCGGAAACTGGTAGAGAATTACGACACATCACACCATCCGTTGTGTTGCGGTTCTTTTTATTTCAGGTGCAAAGTGAACAAAGCTAAAGTAAGCTAAAGCCAAAGCTAAAGCCTGGACAAATAAACAAAGTTAAAACAATTAAATAGAAATGTGGACATGTTTGAAAAACACACATAATAGTGATAAACATAATATTTGTTAATGACTCTAAGATACGCATTCCAACAATATGACGTCAAGCCGACTCATGATAATAAATGATAAACATGTTGTTTATATTACATTCATTAAAACTTAATCAATATTGCATGAAAATAACAAGTATCTAATCAATAAAGTTCTTCCATCTTTATGGATAACTTTCCCAACAAATAAATGAAGACAACCATCAAGTGAACTTTGGCAAACAACCAAACATAACTCCCAATTAAAACTACATTGAATTAGTGGTTTATACATTGAATATGATAACCCACTCACCCTGGCAATCTGGCCTAGAGGACCGTTTCCTCTCGTTCCCACTTCTCACATGTTGATTGCAATTTGTCAACACCTGAAGGAATAATAATTAATACAAATCATTGTAAATTTGACTCTAAAACACCAAACTGAAAAAGGTTCAGATTATATCCGTTAACTGTTAACTCTTAAAACATTACTTTAAATTACAACTGTCTTGCAAAATACGATTATCCAGAGTTAAACTCAACAACACATTATATAACTAAAACTCCTAAAGATAACATAGTAATATTCAAATCATCTCAAATTACTATTACCAAATCCTAATCTAGTGCTTAACTCACTAACGAAATCAACCTATACTAATGATCAAACAAATAATATGCCACACCTTACATAATGCATATTAATTCAACACAAACTATATCGTTGAGAACGATACCAAGGTTATTAACTAACATCAGAATACATCTACAAAAGTACTAATTATCTCAATAATTATCCAACTTAACAAAAGAATAATCTTCTTACCTAATGACATGTAACACCAAAAGCTTGCAGAGTCGACCTCCCTGCCTGCCCCATGGATGGGGTGCAGTACAGGAGTGAATCTCACAAATACCTCTGCCTTCTTTTATAACAGCTATACTCTCACGGTGGTATAGCTACTACACATAACCTGTTCTGGTAAAGGGTCTTGTTATTGGGAGGGAGACAGGAAGTCTTTTGTTTTGGGAGTTTGGGGTTCTTATCCGATGTTTACAATTTGGGGTTTGTTTGGCTAAGTTGTTACAAGTGTTCTGGAAGGGGGGGGGGGGTCGAGTTACCAACCTTTGACCAAGTGACCGTACATCATTAACTCTCTCATAGCTGTGGAATGTCATGTTTTGGCCAAATTGATAGCTTCTACTTGGAATATGTGTGAGTCATACTTCTTTGAAGTACAAAGTTTGTTAACATATAAACTTCTTACTTTCCTCCTGAGGAGATATTGATTAGAAATGGATGTATATGTTTCACTATAAAACAGTTCAATTCTGACCTGTTACATAAGATTAAGTTCACTTCTGGTAATGATAGAAAACAAATTCTCACAGAATCCAACAAAACTTACACTGAATGTTCAGGATTACAAATAAATGACACGTGCCCAAAAGATTTTTGGTAGAACATAATTATAGGAGCTGAGTAACGAGCATAGAAAGATAAGGAAATCAAAGTAAGTATAGGCCCGACACCATGTATGTGCAAATGAGAGTTTTTTTTATTTTTTTTTTTATCGAAGATGATTTCCAGCAAGTTTTTGTGAGTTTTGTTAAAGTTTACTGGTTCTTATAATCAATCTACTGAAGGGTAACCAATCCAGAATGAATTAGAGCCATGTTTTCTCGACATACGATTCCAATACCAGAGCTCAAGATGAAAAGGGATCATTGGAACTTTAATAACCAGTATTTTCGTTTCGTTATCCCAGTTTTACTGATCTTCCAACCATCCAATTATTTACACAGTTCGGATCTAGACTACCATTGTCATAACTCCTTTTTACGTCGCTCTTTCATTTGACACTTCACACGTGAAAAATTTTATTGATCAATTTATCGATCTAATCTTAGCTATATCTATAGATCTACAATTGACTAAACGTGATTGATCTGCAGATAACATCACATGACACTATTAGATAGCAGATCAAAGGCGCACAGGGAGCCCCTGCCACTGACACAAAAAAGGGGAAGGGAGGAAGGAAAAGGAAAGAAAATGAAAAGGGGGGAAAAGAGTTTAAAAAAGGAGAAATTGAAGAAAGAGAAAAGGAAAAACAGAAAATGATTTTCTGTTACGGAATTTTCAGACTTGTGCCTCCCCCCTTGCCAGGCACGATGCCACGGGGGGGGGGGGGGGGGGGGGCACGGGGGGCACATGCCCCCCTAAAATTTCCAAGATCGGTTGAAGTTTTTTAGACCCCTTTTTTTTACCTCGATCGATTACATGTATGTGCCCCCCCCCCCCCCCCAAACATCAAACTCTGGCTACGTGCCTGCCCCTTGCAAGAGATTACTGGATTCGCTAACCATCTTATCATGAAATAGCTCTTGAAATACACTTAACAACCATCATAAAATATGACGTACATTACATGTTTGCTCAAGTCTTGTATTATCTTTTGTGTGAGCTATCATCTCTTGATTCATAAATAGTTTTGAATAATAATTGTCGTGCAAAAGGTTTAGTCGAACATTTCACATCACGTCCACGTGAGTGACTATCTGTTTAATCTCAAGCAGGTTATTATTATGTACAATACTTATTTCGTTAAAAATGTCCTTTCGAGTTTGGCAAGGCGTTTTATTTACATTTGCCACTCTCAACCCGGGGGGGGGGGGGGAGTGGTGGAATATCTGATAGACTTCACACGGCGCTTCATACTAGCCGCGCATATAGATTATACACGACTTGTTCCGTGAACGCCTCAGTTTGGCAAGACATTAATCTACACTTGCCGTTCTTCACCCAGGTGTCAATGGGTTCCTGACATGAATGTCGCTATATCTCGTTAATAAGAGGGGTACACTAACATTGGGATGCAGAGAGCATAAATTTGTGTTATATACAAGAAACCATGTTTGTCATTATTTCTATTTTTGTTCTGAAACTTTTTTGGCTTCAATCCTTCGTATTCCCGTGGCTTGTAAAGAAATGACACCACATTTTTAAGAAACGGTTTCTTATTAGATGAAGAACCGCCGATTCAAATATAATATAACAAATGTTAACAGAATATAATTTAAAATTGCCAGATATGAGCGCTATATACAAGGCTCTATTACCGATATTACTATTAATACAGATGAACAAAAGACTTTAGTTAATGTGTGTCTATAAAGAGAGTCAATAGAATCAACACAATTATGGCTGCATTATTTTATAACATTTCCATGTATTTTTTCAGTGCCATGAGCAATTAGCGCCATTGAAATGGCACGTTATGAATGCTCCACAATCATTATCATTCATTATTACACATTACACAGCTGCTGTAACGAAAGTAAAAGAACTATCATGTAAGTTAGGAGTTAGAACAGAAATAAGTGTTCCATTAACTAAAATAAGAACAATTTGGATAACATAATTTCCTATAAACAAACATTTATTACCCCTCTTGATTTTATTGCATTTCTTTTGATGATTTTTTAATGATATCATAAACAAATGAAATGAAATTAATCATGAATTAATAAAGTAAACTCAAATGAACTGCAAAAGTAAAACAGATTAGGCCTATTAATGTGAAACTAGAAATTAGCACAGTGCTCGTAAAAGTTATTAAATTTGACTATATTGCCCTTGACAAATGACAATATTATTGGAGAAAGATTTGTTGATTAATTTGATTTCACTTGGATTGTTTTTGCAGCTGCTAGCTCTGAATACATGTCTAGAAAGTGAGACGACTTCGTTGTAATCTTCGAATGATCTTTAGCTACAACATATCGCTATTCAAAAAGCTGTATTATTATCAACTCATAACTTTTTGCCTTAATAAGGAGACATTGGAACCCTTTTCTTCTTTTTCATGATTTCATAACCTATATTCTGTAGTTTGTAAACCTGTACATGTTTGGACTAGGATTATTATACTGTAAAAGTGGTATTGTTTTTAGTCATTAAGGAGGATCGAATATAAGATTGTACAAAGTCTTATCACCAACATTTATACAAGGATATCATGATACCAATTTTAATATTTATACAAAATCACAAGAGAGGGGGTCATAATATCGATAAGATGCAAGAGAACGAGGATTTTTAAGTAATCCGTTTCTCATGGCTGTGAGAATTGGTGTTAGCCAAACTTAAAAGAAAGAAAGAGAGAGAGAGAGAGAGAGAAAGAGATAGAGAGATAGAGATAGAGAGATAGAGAGAAATAGTTTGGTAAAATTATCACTAATAATTATCTTCATTATACCATTATCGATGGACTTTGTTATGTATACAGATCATTATTATAGACAGTTTGTTTGTCGAAAACTGCACGTGAGGAGCTTCCAGATTTCTATAACCAGCTTCTCTCTTGATGCAGAGGAAAGAAATTCACTTGTTAGGAGTTATATCATTTTGGAGTTTAATCCACTCAATATTACAGTGGAATCAATTCCATAGAAGTTTTACTTATTCCTCGGGAGTGGATTCTATTTATAGCGTGGATTTCCACTCACGAACGAATTTATTGATCCCTACTAAAACTCCTATAAAAAGAGTAGGCCCAAGGCTACATACCAATTGCTTCGTGACACAGTCATTATCCCCATATATTACTTTTCTTGTTTATTTTTTCTCTCTTTAAATAGTAATGATATATAAAAACAGAAATTAAGAGAAAAGAGAGGGAGAGAGAGAGAGAGAAAGAGGGAGAGATAAAAGAGGTAAGGGAAATTTAGATCAAAGGGGGGAGGGAGAAAGAAAGGGATACGTTGAGCGTATCCGAACACCTACCCCCTGGATAACCACCCCCAATCAACTAAACCCTAGGACAACTACCCCCTAGGGCAACCACCCTCTAGGACGACTACCCACGGGACAACTACCTCCGGAAAAATACCCCCAGACAACTACCCCCTAGGATAGTTGTCCGGGGGTAGTTGTCCTAGAGGATGGTTGTTGTAGGGGGTAGTTGTCCGGGTGGTAGTTGTCCAGGGGTTGCTGTCCTAGGGGTAGTTGTCCGGGAGTAGTTGTCCAGGGTAGTTGTCCGGGG